CGCCATTTCATAGGAAAGTGAATTGATCCACTTAAATTGATATTGATTATAAAAAGTCAGCTGATGTCCATGGGAGGAGATGGAGGGATTGTCTCAAACTGATCATAGTACCAAGTTCCAACCAAAAGCCACTCATTGAAAACCCTTAAAGTTAATACAAGCAGGAAGCGGCCCTGCTGGGTGCCCGCAGTCAAACTTTGATGTTCAGTCCTCAAAGGTGGTCCTTAGTCCAGCTGATTCCATATTCAATGCCATCTGTTTTGTATATGCTGTTATATGCGTTAGGGAAGGTAACAGCAGGCATTAGTCCCCAATGACTGGGAAAATATTTAGAAACCATCTAATTCCATCTCCCTACGGACTGGAATATATTGCTGTTCCCTCCTCCCAAGAGGCTGCAGCTGAATATTACTTATTATGGGCTGAATCCCAAGAGGCTGCAGCTGAATATTACGTATTATGGGCTGAATCGCAATAGTCTAAAGTGGTTTCCTCGCTGCGTCTCCTCTCCCTCGTGTCCACTTATCTGAAAACAGGAAGGATAGAAGCAAAATGGCGGATTAATCGCATTGGGGGACTTGCTTTTACTAGCCCTGTTATTTCAGATCAGTCTAGGTGTGTGTAGAAAAAAAAAAATGTATGCACTCACCAACTGTAAGTCGCTCTGGATAAGAGCGTCTTCTAAATGACTAAAATGTAAATGTAAAATGTGTGTGGTGGTCCTCTGTAGCATGGCTATTTGTTGACTACTGTTGTATCTCTGTGAGGGAGTGAGAGGTGACTCAGCTGATATCCACCTCAGCTGGCTCAGTGCACACAATCTTGGGTCTGTCTGTAGCTTCCTGCCGTAGGGGCCATCTCGATAGTCTAATGCTGCGTTTAGACGAGAGGTGCAAAAACCATCATAGCAGTCGGCATAGCGCGACAAGAATGCAAGAAAAAGGGTGACGCAAAAGCGAGCCAGCACGACGGTATGTGTTGCTGTTGTGATTTCAGTAAACAATCTGTGCAAATAAACATCCGGTAGAAAACAACGCTACGACAAGTGGAAATATTTGAACTGGTGGCAAGTCCCCTGTACCGTGGCGGCTGACTGCATTCACCGCCAGCCTCAATGGCATGTACCGTCGTGCTCTCATTGAAAACAATGACATCCGGTTTGCCATCTACCTCATACCATCTAAACGCAGCATAAAGCACAGGTGTCAAACTCATTCCACAGAGGGCAGAGTGTCTGCGGTGTTCCGCACCTCCCTTGACATCATCACGCACCTCCCTTGATGAATGAAGGTCGCTAATTAGTAAAGAACTCACCTGGTTGTCTAGGTTTTAATTGAAAGGAACAACCAAAAACCCACAGACACTAGGCCCTCCATGGAATGAGTATGTCACCCCTGGTCTAAAGGTTTCCTCTCCTTGTTTCCTTTACCCTCATTTACAGCGATCTGAAAGTACTTGGTGAAGGCAAGCAAAGCAAGGAACAAAGGAACAAATCTGGACATCTGATATCTGCCTAGAGGTGACATCCCATTCCTGAGCCTTCTGCACCTCTTCTTTCATCTCCTCTCTCAGCTCTCCCTGGAGGCAAAGGGCCAGGGTTACAGTTATAAGGGCTATATGTGTTAAGTCACTTTGGATTTAAAAGAAGTCCCAATCAGAATATTATATGTTAAAGTAATTGGGCAGGGGAACAAGGTAAGGCTGGAGACTGGGTTGCAGACAGAGGGAACTGGGCATGATTTGAACTGAAGCTGGGATGAAGGTTTGTGGCTTGGTTGAGCAGGTGGGCAAGGACCTCTTTGGGAGCATGGCTGGGTTATGTGGGACTTGACAGAGCAGGGGAACACCCTCTCTGTGTCCTTGATTGACTCAGTCCCTTTCTAGGGTCCCTCCCCTGTGGGCTGTGGCACAGGTAGGGGCTGGCCTGCCCTTTGGAGGAAGTGGCTCTGCTTATCGCTCACTCACGCCTCCCCTCTCCCAGGCGCTCTGCATTCTCTGCTAGCAGACGTGTGCCAGTTTAGGGTGGCTAGGTGGGTGGGTGTGTGTGTGTGTTTGACTTTGCTTTTGCTCATACAATCAGTTTACCCACTGCCTAGAGCAGGGGAATTCAACTCTTAGCCTACGAGGTCCGGAGCCTGCTAATTTTCTGTTCTACCTGATACTTAATTGCACCCACCTGGTGTCCCAGGTCTAAATCAGTCCCTGGTTATAGGTGAACAATGAAAAAACACAGTGAAACTGCTGTCGACGTCCAGAGTTGAGGGGCCTAGAGGAAATATTCATTACATTTCAGTCTGTTAAACTTTTACTACAATCATCAAAGCTTTCACATTTTGGACATAAGCAATATCTGCCACAACAATTAGTGGGTCCTGACCTACCATTTGGCCATTATTTTATATCAGAGTGTATCTCCCATCTGCATTATGTAGGAGTGATGCCACCCACCAGAAGTCATTGTGCATTTGGGAAACAGCACTGTTGTTGTTAGACTCGGTGCTGTGTTAGCTGCCCTGGCCCTCTCCATGCTCCAACATCGCTCCTCCATCAATTATGAATGGCTCCCGGCTGGTAGGCAGCACAACCGCACGGCTCAACAGAGGCTGCTGTCTAAGGGCCCGTCGGCATGGCAACACGTCATGCCCCATCGAGCGGAGAGAAGCCATTGTGATGGAGAGGTGTAGAGTCTCTCCTAGTCAGTCACTCTGAGGAGCTGTGGAGTTTCCTTCATTCTCTCTTTTCCCCCTGAGCTCCCTGCCTATGTGGCCTGGGCTGCTTAAAGAGCAGGAAGACACTTAAGACATCTTCTATCCCCATCCACTCAGGATCACTCACAATGTTTATTGGAGGAAGTCATGACTTGTTTTATAGCCATTATGGTGTGTGTGTGGTTGTTACTGTAGGCTCGTAAGAAATACCCATTACCTGTTTTTTTTAAGGCTCAAACTGACTGAGACCAGACTCGATCCGTTTTCCAGCATAATGTTTATTTTGCATTGTAATTTCCAAAAATGTCCATAATATATCTGCCGCTAATAGTGGAATGATAGTGTTTCACAGTATTATTTACAAGGGTTGGGCGGTGTCCAGATCTTCATACCGTCCTTCTCGCATCTCTGGATTTACGGTATTACCAGTTTAGTACACAAAGGGGCGCCAAAATAGCCCAGTGGGCTACGGTGAAGCAAGGTGGTGGCAGCGTTATGCGGTGGGGATTTTTTTCAGCGGCAGGGACTAGGAGACTAGTCAGAATCGAGGGAAAGATCAACGGAGCAAAGTACAGAGAGATCCTTGATGAAAACCTGCTCCAGAGCGCTCAGGACCTCAGACTGGGGCGAAGCTTCACCTTTCAACAGGACAACGACCCTAAGCACACAGCCAAGACAACGCAGGAGTGGCTTCGGGACAAGTCTCTGAATGTCCTTGAGTGGCCCAGCCAGAGCCCGGACTTGAACCCCCAGTTTTGACGCATGCTTGTCTGCAGGAAGAACAACCATACACGCTGGTTCTGTGTGAAGTCTGGATTCACTAGGGCAATGGGCCTGCCTGCTATGCTCGGAGAAGAGGGGGGAGGAACAGACTGTCCGAGAACGGGGAGGGAAGAAAAAAACGCAAGAAAATCAAGATAGCAGTGGCAGCTGTACTGTTAACTTATCGAAAGGGCTTTGACTTCTCAAACACTGCAAAAAGCGAAGAGCATATGATGCCCCGTCACCTTATTAATTCAGCCACTTACTTGGATAACTATCAACTTAAACATAGGAGTCACGTTAATGCATTTTTCACGCAGGAAATGATATATAAAATGCATAAATATCTTGCTGCGTTTTGTAAACGCAGATCTAAAACGCTTATTGTAATTTCTGCTCGGCATCAGACTAATTTTGTGCTTCAGTTGCACTTCTCGGATGAGAATCCACGAATGGGTATCAGCAGACAGCGCTCTGACTGACAGATACTCCAATCTCCGCTGTGGAGCTCCTTCAGGGTTATCTTTGTTGCCTCTCTGATTAATGCCCTCCTTGCCTGGTCCGTGAGTTTTGGTGGTTGGCCCTCTCTGGACAGGTTTGTTGTGGTGCCATATTCTTTCAATTTTTTAATAATGGATTTAATGGTGGTCCGTGGGATGTTCAAAGTTTCAGATATTTTTTTATAACACAACCCTGATCTGTACTTCTCCACAACTTTGCCCCTGACCTGTTTGGAGAGCTTCTTGGTCTTTGTGGTGCCGCTTGCTTGGTGGTGCCCCTTGCTTAGTGGTGTTGCAGACTCTGGGGCCTTTCAGAACAGGTGTGTGTGTGTATATATATATATATATATATATATATATATATATATATATATACTGAGATCAGTTGACACTTAGATTGCACACAGGTGGCCTTTATTTAACTAATTCTGAAGGTAATTGGTTGCACCAGATCTTATTAAGGGGCTTCATAGCAAAGGGGGTGAATACATATGCACGCACCACTTTTCCGTTATAAATTTTAATAAAAAAATTTAGCATGTTATTTTTTTCATTTCACTTCACCAATTTGGACTATTTTGTGTATGTCCATTACATGAAATCCAAATAGAAAACCCATTTAAATTACAGGTTGTAATGCAACAAAATAGGAAAAACGCCAAGGGGGATGAATACTTTTGCAAGGCACTGTATATACCGTATACTGCCCAAGCCTATTACTTACCCGCCAGTGTTGTGATTGGCTGTGATATTCGCCTATTGATTTCTCAATAGGCAGATGCCGCTTCGGTGGGAAAAATCAATAGGTGAATATCACAGCCAATCACAACACTGGCAGGTAAGTAATCATGTTAAACACTATCATTCCACTATTGGCGCCAAATTATATTAGATATTTTCTGTAAGTACAATGCTAATGTTATTTTAAAAGTCCTGTGTAGCACCTTTTTAAATAAAGTTTGATTTGTATTGCAGGAGGCTGGTTCTGGGGGTGAGACCAGAGGACCAGACTCAATGAGTTTCCAGCGAAATGTCAGAGAAGTCAGGGCAGAGCACCAAGGCAAAGGATGGCAAGACCAAGTATGCAACCCTTAGCCTCTTCAACACGTACAAGGGCAAGTCTCTGGAGACCCAGAAAACTGCAGGTACGCTCGCGCTTCCATCACACAAAATGTCTGCCTCTCCTTGTGGCTAGAGGTGGATTTGGGATTGTCCATAATACAGGGATGCAAACTCGTCGCTTTTCGGTGATATTTGCAGTTTTGATCTGAAAATAGACCATCCACGTGAATTGTGTAGATCCGAAGAAGAAGAGAAAATCGGGGGAAATCCAAAACCTCGAGAAACAAAACCAAGATAACGGAATTTGGCACCAACATTTTTTTATCTTCCCTATGTGTTCCTGTCCAGGGAGACAGAGATTATCATTACATGTCATGATAAACCTTAAACGCAGACCAAAGAGCCCAACTCCCTCCTACCCCAGGACACAATTTTCTGTCTATTGTGGTTTGGAAAGTTAACAGTATTGAGATTAATCAAATGTGTATTATATACAGTACTTATTCTCTGAAAATAGGCACTTTTTTTTCCTTGCACTTAACACCGATTTGTCACGCTTTTCCACAACAAAAAATGTTTTTTGGGGGGTCCTCACCTGCTTGCATCCCTGAAAATAAATGTGATTATGTAAACTCTGCTCCTTGCTAAATGTTTCATGCCCTCTCCTCTCCCCCTGTCCAGTGGCTGCCAGACATGGGCTCCAGAGTTTGGGTAAGGTTGCTGTCAGTCGGCGTATGCCCCCCCCTGCCAACCTGCCCAGCCTGAAGGCAGAGAACAAGGGCAACGACCCCAACGTTAACATTGTCCCCAAGGACGGCAGCGGCTGGGCCTCCAGACCTGAGGGAGGAGACGAGAGGTGAGATACTAGGGCTGCCCCTGAATGAATCTCTACACACACTGTTACTAGGTCAGAGTTATTTCTCGGCCCTAATAATAAACTACTTCTCTCCACTATCTCTCTCTCGCCTCCTTCCCCCCTCCCCTCCTCTTTGTGCTGTGTGTATCAGGCAGTCCGAGACCCCCCCACTCCAGCCTAACCCAGGGCCCCCCCAACCCCCAGAGGTCTCGTCCTCTGTAGGGGGCAGCAGATCCTGGGCCAACAGCAAGCCGCCACCACCACAGCTAGACGGAGGAGCCCCTCGTGTGAGCAGCCAGTTCCACCAGGAGTTCCCCAGTTTGCAGGCGGCCGGGGAGGCGGAGAAAGGGGAGGGGCAGGAGGAAGAGCCTTATGGACCTGGACCCAGCCTCCGACCTCAGAGTACGAACACACACTCACATCATTCCCCAGTCTGTCCTCAGAACATAAGCATTACACTCCTTTCTACCCACTACTCATGGACCAAACTACCCGACCTAAAGGTTGTTATTCTACCACAGAAATGACTGGTCTGTGTTGTCTTGTGTTGTCCCTGCTCCCCTATAGATGTTGGTAGTTGGCGTGAGGGCGGGGGCAAGAATCTGACCACAGCAGCCAGCCCTTCTGAGATGGACAGCCATGGGTCAGAGGAGGGAGGGGCAGTCCTCAGCACCCCATCACCCCCTGGGGAGGTGGAGGAGGGGAGCAGGGTGCCCCCTAGTGAAAAGCGAGAGGTCAGGGAGCGGCTGCTCCTGTCTGCCAAGCCTGCACCCCTCTCCTCTCAGCCCAAGCTACAACCCCCCTCCTCCTCCTCTGTGCCAGCCCAGCCTAAACTCAACGGGGGCCAGCAGGCCCCTGCCGGTGTGCCTCCCCAGTTCCACCCCCAGTTCAGGGGCATGATGCCACCCTACGTAAGTGATGGACTGATTATTGATTTGTATGGGTTATTGATTTTACTTGGTATTAATTTATGATGCCCCGCCCACTTGACCCAGTTCATAATCGAACATGATTGTTTTCCTCCTTACGACCCATTCACAGACAAGCAAAACATTGTTAAATATGAATGAAATGTGTTAAAACTATTACATAACAAAAACGAATCAAAATACATTTTTATGTCACATGTGCCGAATACAACAGGTGTAGACCTTACAGTGAAATGATTACTTACAAGCCCTTAACCAACAATGCAGTTTAAAGAAAAATAGGTGTTCAAGTATTTACTAAAATAAACTGAAGTTAAAAAAGAAAGAAAGAAAAATAACAAATAATTGAAGAGCAACAATAAAATAACAGTAATGCGGCTATAAAAAAAAAAAATATATATATATACAGGGGGTACCGGTACAGAGTCAATGTGCGGGGGCTCAGGTTAGTCAAGGTAATTGAGGTTACATGTAGGTAAAGGTAAAGTGACTGCATAGATAATAAACAGAGTAGCAGCAGCATAAAAATGGGGGGGGGGGGGGGGGGGGGGTCGATGCAAAAAAAGTCTGGGTAGCCATTTGATTAGGTGTTCAGGAGTCTTATGGCTTGGGGGTAGAAGCTGTTAAGAAGCCTTTTGGACCTAGTACTCCCTGACGAAGGCCATGCAGCCGAAACGCGTCTGAGTTTTTAAACTTTGTTTCGATTGAACATGCCATACAAATAAAGGCGTTTTAAATTAATTATATGGAGTGCCTTGGTCCTCCTTTCTTTTTGATATGTTAAATCTGTTGTGGAAAATTAATGAAAAAATGTAAATGTTTTTCACGTAGTGTAAACTCTCAGATGCCGAGCATCGTTAGCATTAGCATTCTCATAGGCTTAGCCTGGATGGGTTAGCTAGTTAGCATATTAGACTGTATCTAATGGTCGTTATCAATGCAGGCTGTATCCCTTTTCAATCAAAGATCAATGCTTGAAATGGCAATGTTGTTAGACACAGAATATCAATGACAAAAGACAGAAACGGTGCCAAAATGTTTTGTAGATGACATTAGGATATTTCCAATCTGTTGTGCCAAAAAGCTAGCTAGCTAACTCACCCAGTCAAAGCCTATGAGAATGCTAATGCTAACAAATGTCGCCTTAAGCGCTTATACTAACGAGCCCTTTCCCAACAATGCAGAGTTAAAAAGTAAGATCAAATTGCAAAAAAGGAAATGGTAACACAATAAAATAACAAGACTATATACAAGGAGTACCGGTACCGAGTCAATTGAGGCAGTATGTACATGTAGGTAAGGGTAAAAGTGACTAGGCAATCAGGATAGATAATAAACAGAGTAGTAGCAGCGTATGTGAAGATTGTGTTTTGTGTGTGAGCATATGTTGTGTGTGTGTTGGAGTGTATGTGTTGGTAGGGTCCAGTGAGTGTGCATAGAGCTGGTGCAAGAGAGTCGGTGCAAATTAAACGGGGGTCAATGCATATAGTCAGGCTATTCATTTGATTAACTGTTCAGCAGTCTTATGGCTTTGGGGTAGAAGCTGTTCAGAAGCCTTTTGGTCACAGACTTGGCGCTCCGGTACCGCTTGCCGTGCGGTAGCAGAGAGAATATTATGACTTGGGTGGCTGGAGTCTTTGACAATTATTTGGGCCTTCCTCTGACACCGCGTGGTATAGATGTCCTGGATGACAGCCTCTTCCTCTGGTTTTATTTAAATTACAACTTTCCACAGGCCTTTAAAGCCATATAGTCTAGTAAGGCTATAACACGGTAAATAATGTTTTGTGATAACTGCACTTGGGGCGTGCTCGGCCCTCCGTTTCCTGTAGTCCATGATCAGCTCTTTTGTCTTGCTGACGTTGAGGGAGATGTTGTTGTCCTGGCACCACACTGCCAGGTCTCTGACCTCCTCCCTATAGGCTGTCTCATCGTCATCGGTGATCAAGCCTACCACCGTCATGTCATCGGCAAACTTAATGGTGGTGTTGGAGTCGTGCGTGAACAGGGAGTACAGAAGGTGACTAAGCACACACCCCTGAGGGGCCCCCGTGTTGAGGGTCAGCGTGGTGGATGTGTTGTTGCCTACTCTCACCACCTGGGGGCAGCCTGTCAGGAAGTCCAGGATCCAGATGGAGATGTTCATCTCTGAGCTGTAGTCAATGAACAGCATTCTAACATAGGTGTTCCTTTTGTCCAGGTGGGAAAGGGCAGTGTGGAGTGTAATAGAGATTGCGTCATCTGTGTATCTGTTGGGGTGTAATGCAAATTGGAGTGGGTCCAGGGTGTCTGATGATGGTGTTGATGTGAGCTATGACCAGCTTGTTTGTGACTGGTAGAAAAACAATCGCAACAAATTGGATGCAGCCTTGTTGCCAGGCGTCATAAGGTGAATAAAAAGATGTGCAATATCTTACCTGATGTGGGATGTTTTCTTGTCAATAGTTGCTAGTTTGCTAAACATTTCTTTGACCTTGCAGAGTAGGATTCTCCTAGTAATGGCCGGGTGTTGTGTGTTTCTGTGTCCTGTTCTAGATGTTCAATGCGTATCCTAGGATGCCCTTTGCTCCAGTGCCAGGGAACATCAGATACCCTGTTCCACAGGATGGAGCCAGGTGAGTACGCACTGCACACTCCTACATCCCAACACACTTCATCATTATTACAACAACATAACTTCCTAGACCTCGCATCACCCATTCCCCAGTGTACTGACCCTCCTGTGTGTGGTGTCCCCAGGAGGGTCCGTCCCCAACAGGGGCCCCCCCAGGCCTGGATCAAGGACCCAGACAGACCCTCAATCATCAGCGCCACAGAGCTCAAAGAGCTTGACAACCTGGACACAGAGGCTGACGAGGGCTGGGCTGGTAAGATTAATCTGTATTTATACATAATGATTTTTTACATTCGTTACGTTTTAGTAGCTTTTCATATAAACTCAATGTAACGGTAACCCTCATCTCTCCCTGTCTGTTCTCCAGGAGCTCAGATGGAGGTCGACTACACAGAGAAACTTAACTTCAGTGACGACGAGGAGAACCATGCCGCCAAGGAGAAAGGAGAAAACTGGTGAGTCTCACTGAAGAAGGTGCTTCCTTTTCTGCCTCACTACCTGGGTTTGACAGACTGTGTTTGAACCATGGTTTTCTGTACGCCTCGAGACTGTTAGAATAGGCATTACCATGTAGAGCTAACACAAGATGCCTAACCATTGCTCTCTGTTTCTCTCTGTCTCTCTGTCTCACTCACTCAGGGAGTGGATGGGTAAAGTGGAGCGGATGAGGCCGCAGCGCCCCTCAGACGGCCATGAGGGCAACAAAGGCTCATGGGTAGATGGAAGGGACCCCAGGGCGCCCTCCCCAGGCAGTAAGGGGGCGTACAAGACCGGCCCACCACAGGACCACCAGGTGAGGCTGAGGGTGGCTGTTTGACTCGGTTTGGGGTGTGTTTGACTGGATGGAGGAATCCAGGACTAATGCACCATCAAGAGATTTACTATACAAGTTCATTTAGGTTTTGGAGGTTTTAAGGTAAAGTAGTAGTGTTATTCATTTATTCTTTCTCTATCTCTCCAGGGTCAGCCAGGTGGGCGCTCGGTGGGCAGCGGAGCCCCTCGCGTGGCTAAACCCTCCACCACTGCGCCCCCTGCTGGCGAGGAGGAGTGCGAAGCCTGGCGCCAGAAACACAAGAAGCAAGACCTGTCTGAAGCGGTAGAAAGAGCCAGGCGGAGGAGAGAAGAGGAGGAGAGGAGGATGGAAGAGCAGAGACTCGCCGCCTGCGCAGAGAAACTGAAACGCCTCAATGAGAAACTCCGCCCGGCGACAGAGGCAAAGCACGGCCCTGCCGCCGAGACAACCAATGATGAGACGGGAGCTGTGCGTGAAGGCACACCTCATTTGTCTGTTCCTCCCCCTGTGTCCAGCCCTACACCTTCACAGCCTGCCCCTTTCTCACAGCCCCCGAACATACCAGCCCCTCTCCAGGACAGAGAGAGGGTAGAGAGGGAAAGGATTGAGAGGGTGGAGAGAGTAGAGCCTAGTGCGGAGGAGGAGAGTCCATTTGTGCCTCGCCAGCCCAGCCCTCCAGTCCAGAGACCATTGTCCATACCTCCAGAGCCTCGGCTCGGAGAGGGCCCCCTGGGCCTGGTGGGTCCCCTGGGCTTGGTGGGCCCCCTGGTGGAGGAAAGCCACACTGAGAGACTGACTCCCATGCCTATCCGAGACTACTTAAGCACCGATGAGAGCAGAGGTGAGCCCCCTGGCAGAGCCCTGTGTTTCCACCAACATAAATTAAACTGCTGCTTTACCTCCCAGTCTTTCACTCCCAGCAGTGCCACTCTTTGTTTATTTCAATGACAAGGTTTTGGTTTAATTTCAGTGTGACTGACTACTGTCTCTCTCTCTAGTGGAGGAACCTGTGCCCCTCTCTCTGCCCCGTATGGACCCCCTCAGTGGAGAGGACGCCCCTGTGGCCCCCCTGGACCTTGAAGGAGAGGCGGGGGCTGCCATGCGCCCCTCTCTCACCTTGGGGTACTCTAAACAGTTCCAGAAGTCTCTTCCCCCGCGCTTCCTCAGGCAGCAGGTATTGGACTGGTGTTGCTTTGTGTTTTTATACCCAATTTTACATCTGAAATTCTTCTTGGAAAAAATAAAGTTACTAAATTCAGTTACATTCCATCTCTGTACTCTGGAGTCCTGAAGGTTTAATGTTGTCCATGTTATGTTGCAGGAACAGATGAAGCAGCAGCAGTGGCAGCAGCAACAGCAGCAGGGTGGTGGGGCTGTGTCCCCATCAGGAGGAGGTGCGGGTGGAGGAGGTGTAGCTGCCCAGCAGCAGCACCGCTCCCTGTACCAGCCCGTCGCCCCCCCTCACCATCAGCAGCACCTGGCTAATATGGGCTTTGACCCCCGCTGGCTCATGATGCAGTCATATATGGACCCCCGCATAATGTCTGGAAGACCACCGCTCGACATGCCAAACATGCATCCTGGACCTGGTACGGAGATGCTGACATGTGTGTTTTGACTGTTTAGGTTTGCTTGTCTTCTGTGGGTGTTGTTGCCCTGTATGTGTTTGTCACAAATAGCCATACAATTTATAGCGTATATATAAACTGTAAAATGTTATAATTTTGACTGTCCCTTCTCCTCGTTTACAGGGCGGATGCCTCCTAAGCAGATAGTTCGTAGAGAGCCAGGGGACAACTCCAGCTCCAGTTCTGACTCCTTCGACCACCTGACCAGGCCCATACGGGACCACAGTCTCCCCTCTGAACCGCGCGTAGTATGGGGGTCTGACCCATACCCCCAAACTGAACCCCTGCCCTCTGTCACACCCCCTAAAGCACGGGAGGACAAGGATACCAGGTGAGGAGACAACACAACACTCAGGCTGCATCTTAATACACTAACCTGGCTTTCTTGCCTCCACAGTAGATAGGAATGAGAGGACCCCCATTTAGAGCAGAAGCCCTTCTGTCATCAAGTGTGGTCCAATTGTCCACCAAGTTCATAGAGTTTTTGATTAAAACATCTCTCTTTCCCAGATTGGACTCTGGGTTGGAGCTGGAACGGGGTCTCCCAGCCATGTACGCCAGCCAGGACCACGGTCCCCTGGAACCCCACGGCAAGACCAACTTTTTCAGAGACTCCACAGAGCCCCTGTCAGTGTTGGGCCCCGGCCCTGAGGAGGCTCCAGAAACCCTGCAGAAAGAAGGAGGGCCTGGTGGGTCTCCCTTTGAGCCAGTGGAGCCTGGCCTGCCCACTGGAGAGGTGGAGGCTCTGGGACAGGCCATGCTACAGAGAACCATCTCCCAGGGCTCCAGCCACTCCCTCAAACTGGATGAGCCCAGGTTTGACAACCTCCCCCTGGGCACAAAGACACTTGAGCTCCAAGATCCAGAGGAGAGGCCAGGCGCGGAAGATATGAAGGCCAGTAAAGAGCCTTTCTCCCAGGCTGCTGTGGCCAACAACAGGGCCACCCCTCCAGCTGATGGCCTCCAAAAGCCAGAGAAGCTGCCCCTGCCGGCCACCAGCAAGCAGAAAGCTGAGCTGCGCTGGGGAGGGAGGTCTGGGGCCGGCCGGCGGGACGGGCCAGGGGGAGAGAGGCCTGTACGCAGGTCTGGACCCATTAAGAAACCTGTACTCAGAGACATGAAGGAAGAGAGAGAGCAGCGGGAGGAGAGAGAGCGACACCGTGAGAGAGGAGAAAAAGGGGAGAGACCCAAGAAGGAGGAGCGAGGAGGAGGGAAAGCTGCCTCTGCGGCTGCTGCCTGCTGTGTCTGAGGGCCCCAGGGACAGACCCCAGGGAGAAAGAGAGAGGGACAGACCCCAGGGAGAAAGGGAGAGGGACAGACCCCAGGGAGAAAGGGAGTGGACAGACCCCAGGGAGAAAGGGAGAGGGGACAGGACCCAGGGAGGAAAGGGAGAGGGACAGGACCCAAGGGAGAAAGGGAGAGGGACAGACCCAGGGAGAGAAAGGGAGGCGGGACAGACCCAGGAGAGAAAGGGAGAGGGACAGCACCCAGGGAGAAAGAGAGAGGACAGACCCCAGGGAGGAAGAGAGCGGGAAGACCCCAGGGAGAAAGAGAGCGGGACAAGACCCAGGAGAGAGGGAGCGGGACAGACCCCCAGGGGGAGAGAGGGAGGGGACAGACCCCAGGAGAGAGGGAAGGGACAGACCCAGGGAGAGAGGGAGCGGGACAGACCCCAGGTGAGAGAGAGAGAGGGAGAGGGGACAGACCCCAGGGAGAGAGGGAGCGGGACAGACCCCAGGGAGAGAGAGAGAGGGAGAGGGACAGACCCCAGGGAGAGAGAGAGAGGGAGAGGGACAGACCCCAGGGAGAAAGAGAGAGGGAGAGGGACAGACCCGAAAGGGAGAGGGACAGACCCCAGGGAGAAAGGGAGAGGGACAGACCCCAAGGAGAAAGGGAGAGGGACAGACCCCAGGGAGAAAGAGAGAGGGACAGACCCCAGGGAGAAAGGGAGAGGGACAGACCCCAGGGAGAAAGAGAGTGGGACAGACCCCAGGGAGAAAGAGAGAGGGTGAGGGTCAGAGCCCAGGGAGAAGGAGAAAGAGAGAGGGACAGGCCCCAGGGAGAAAGAGAGAGGGACAGGCCCCAGGGAGAAAGAGAGAGGGACAGGCCCCAGGGAGAAAGGGAGAGGGACAGACCCCAGGGGGAAAGGGAGAGAGAAAAGGCCAGGGAGAGGGATGGGAAGAGTGAGGCCCCTGAGACAGAGGGGTCTGGGAAGGGCCCCCAGAGATCCAGAGACACACATGCCCTGTCAGGAGCCCCGACACTACCCTCCCAGGACCACAAGACAGACCAACTACCGACCAATGACAAACACCCTGAACCTAAATTACCCTCTAGGAAGGAGTCCAACCTGCCTCTACGGGCCTACCGCCGTGAGGAGAAGGAAAGAGACCGGGAGAGAGAGATGGAAAGGGACAGAGAGAGAGACTGGCCGGCTGATGGTTTTAGAGGCAGAGGCAGAGGGGAGTACTACTCTCGAGGACGGAGTTTCCGGGGGACTTACATTGGTCGAAGTAGAGGTGGCCGGGGTCGTAGTCGAGGGGAGTACCCTTATCGGGAGCCGCGCTCGCGCTCAGACCTCCCTGCCGCCGGTGGCGCCGCTGCCTTCCGCTGCCGTGAAGAGAGCGAGACGCGCAGCGAGAGCTCAGACGTCGAGGTGATGCCCAAACGCAGACGGCGTCGTGGCTCCGATACCGACTCAGAGAGCGAAGGAGGACGGGAGTCCGCTAGCGACACAGGGGCTTCAGACCGTGAGCCCAGCGCCAAACCACCCCGGCCGCTCCGCAGTGAACTACCAGGAGAGCCCCGCTCCGGACCACACAAACCTGGCATCGGACCCCATCACCTGGGGGAGAAAGGAGGGCCCAGGGGAGGAGATGAGGGAAGGCCCAAGCCAGGCTTCCTGCCCAAAGGAGATCCTTCACGGCGGGGGAGAGGGGGACTTTTCAGCAGACGAGGGGGGGCCAGGGAGAGATTAGGTCCTAGGTCAGCTCCACTTAGTCGACCAGGAACCAGAGAGTCATCCTCCCAGTGGCCCTCTAAACCCATGGAGACCTTCCGCCCCGAGGACACAGAACCCTCATCATCACGCTATGACAACCGGGACACCCACTCTGACCAACGGCCCATTCGAGGAGACAGAGACCGGCCGTTCGAGGGGAAGAAGTTTGGGGAGGGGGGACCCCAGAGTAGCAGAGACAGAGAGAGGCCCCGTCGCCCTCGGCCAGCCCGACCCCCCAGACAGGACAAACCCCCCCGCTTCCGGAGGCTGAAGGAGAGAGAGGCTGCTGTCTTAGCTGGAGGAGAGACAGGACCCACCTCCACTGCCCCTCTCCCAGCCTTAGTGCCTGGCCCTGTCTCTGTGTCCCCTACCCTCTCCAGAGCTCCAGGGACCCCCTGTCACCCTGCCTGTAGAGGGGGAACCCACAGCTGCTGACCTGACCTCTGACCCAGCCCTGCCTGAGGCTACCCCTCCCACCACCTCTGCCGTGGGCACCAAGTCACCTGACCTGTCCACGCAGAACTCTTCTGACCAGGCCAACGAGGAGTGGGAGACGGCGTCGGAGAGCAGCGACTTTAACGAGCGTAGAGAACGGGAGGAGAGGAGGGGAGCGCGAGAGGCTGCTAGCGCCACTGCCCAGCCCTCGGCCCCAGCCCCTCTACCCCCTCAGAGCTCAGCACCCCCCAGTAGGACCCCCACCGAGGGAGGGGTGACGCCCAAACGTGAGTCAGCCGGGCCCGCTGGGGGCAGGAGGAGTTTCTCCAGTCAGCGTCCGGTAGAGAGGCAGAACCGCTGGGGGAACAGCGGACCCAAACCAGGCCGCGGCTACGCAGGGGGGAAGGGAGAGAGGAGAGGAGGGGGCAAGGCTGGACGCAGAGGGTGAGTCATCCACCAATCTCACACCACGATTTGGTTTGGCCTTTTAGTTTTGTGCATTGACTGTTTGCATGTTATATCTTCACTGTTAACATAATGAACAATATCTTATTATAAACCCATATTATACAACCAAACTCCATGCTCTGCTGTTTCAGTTTGTGAGTGTGAATAAGAGCTGTGGAAGTACTCTCTTCCTGAAGGACAAATGTTTCTCATCCCCTTTCCTATCGTATCCTGTTCTAATTGCTGGCTGTGTGTTTTGGTTTGGAGTTATATATAGAGAGAGCGAGTCAAGGTATATTTTTGGTCTGCTACCTCTCTACTGTGGCCGCTCTCTCTGGAGGAGAATACACTGGGTACACATCACTCCCTCTCCCTTTCTGCCTGCATCTCAATAGTCTAAAGTGGTTTCCTTTCCTTGTCTCCTCACCTTCACCTGCACTGATGTGAAAGCAATGTCCTCAATTACATTACTATATATTGTGTAATCAGAAAGGACTACTAAAGATCCTAAAGTTTTTAGACTATTGGGATGCACGTCTTGTTTTTTTTTTATAAATCTGCTGTTTCTCTGTACAGTGGCCTGTCCTCTTGTCTCTCTCTCTCTCCCTAACATGTCTCTCTCTCCTCCCCTCCAGAGCGGCCCCTAACCCAGACTCAGCCCCAGGTGGGGGAGTGGTGCGTACTGGGGGTAAAGACCCTGCTGGACGCAGGAAGGACGAGACCAAACAAACCAAACAGAAACCCAAGGAGAAGGAGAACGCTCTGTTGCAGTTTGACCTAAACAACTATGCCAGTGAGTCACATGCGTGCACACACCTGCTATCTTGTAGGGATGTAACAATTCACCCATACTCATCGGTCCCCGGTGTAAATGTTTAAGATGCGAGTGTATCGGTCCGCGGGAGCCCAAACCACTCCAAACGAAGCATGCATCGGTAAGAAAACCGACCCAAACGTTATGAATCGTCGGTTCACTCAAGTGTTTTACTCATACTTTTTTTCTGCCTTGTTCCAAAAATACCTCTGATCTGTTGACTGAATTGATGCGTCCTCTCCTTCAGCTTATCAAACTTTTATGCAAATACAGTTACTGCGTATGACATTGATCTACAAGTCAGATAACTGTGTGCTCAGTGCGAGAGACGCAGCTGCTCGCGCCAACGAGAGGTAGCCCTACCCTGTCTCTGTTCTAATATTTGTACTAAAACAGATATTATACCTTCAGCATTCAGATGTTTGTAAAATGGCTTTCGCAATATTGAGGGACAACCAATGTAATTTGCTGGGTCATTATTACCAAATGCGCTTTAGAAAATTGTGTTTTACCGGTGGAGCTGTGTAGGCTACCGGAGTGTACACAACTTGCATATTGCTGGTTGCACATCTAACTGCTGATTGGGGATATTCATTGCCAGGCTCACCGTACATAATATTTCTGGTAGTTCTGCTACAAACATTTAGTGTGTTTGGTCATTTTTACATGAACAGGGTAAAGGTGTAATTTCATAACAGGGACAGCAATAACTTTATGGAGGGCAGCTCTCCTCCATAAAGTTCCAAACGGTCAAAACCATTCGCTTTTGAGACTGGGTGAAGTCCAAAACTGTGTTTATATTAATTGGCTATGTACATGTCATAGCTAATTTCTAAAGATAAATATTGACATATTACTAGCTCAAAACATTTTAATCTGCTATATGACAAGTTAATCAGTGGGTGACACAAGGAAGTAAGGGGACAAAAACATGAATTGCCCCGCCTAATCTGATAGTGGTAGATACCCTATGGATCAGCTCACACAGTAAATCATTCACACACACTCTGCTCAGAGATACCGGCTAAGACCGATTCAGCTCCTGAGCTCCATCAGTATCAGATATTATCAGGCGGCAGGTAGCTTAGTGGGTAAGAGCGTTGTGCCAGTAACCGAAAGGTCGCTGGTTCTAATCCCCGAGCCGACTAGGTGAAAAATCTCTGTGCCCTTAAGCAATGCACTTAACCCTAATTGCCCCTGTAAGTCGCTCTGGATAAGAGCATCTGCTAAATGACTAAAATGTAAATATTAATTTAGAATGGAAAATGAATGTGTTCATGTGACAATTGTTAGTGCGTCAAATCGACCTGCATCGATTCATTCCACAAATCGAATTGCACAGAATAGTTTCAAACTAAACGTATAGTTCCTGTATCGTATCGGAGCCCGTGTATCTAGATGCGTATCAAATCCCTACTATCTAGTGTCCATCTTGAAATTACATTTTATTTTTTCAATATGCAACGGGTACTGTAATGCCATATTGGCTCAATACTAGGGCCGGGACGATACTTGCATCGCGATGCTCATTAGTGTCGTGGCAAGGAAACGGAACATGAAGCGGATTTAACTTCTTTAGGAAAACATCCCTAATGTTGGAAACAAATATTATGTTGTCACATTTATTTCTTTATTTTCAAAGCTATAGCACACACTATTTTACATACAGCAGGGATCGTCACAGCCCTACCAATACAGAATTTGACATGCTATTGTTCTAGAACTTGTACCTTGTCCATGGAACTGATGTCACTTTCTATGTGCTGTCCTGTAGGTGTGGTGATCATAGATGACCATCCAGAGGTGACGACCTTAGAGGACCCCCAGTCTAACACTACAGACGACGGCTTCACTGAGGTGGTCTCACGCAAACAACAGAAACGACTACAGGATGAGGAGAGGAGGAAGAAAGAGGAGCAGACCACACAGGTGAGAGAGGGAAGGAGGGAGAGGGGGTGTTCACTTCACCACTGGGAGGCAGTCACTCCTGTATTTACTAAACACAAGACTTCTAGTCACACTGAGGACCGTAGGACCCTAACATCTGACATCACTAACATGTATGTTGCCTTGTGTGTCGGTTTATAGCACTATGGGAAGAAAGGATCAGGGGAAAAGGGGAGGGGAGGAGGCAAGCTGCCTCCAAGATTTGCCAAAAAACAACAGCAGCAGCATCAACAACAAGCATCACAACAACCACAGCAAGCCTCAAAGCCGCAGCCTCAACAGCCCTCACCTCCCCCCCAACAACCCCAGCCCCCCCTCTCTGCCTCCAAGCTCCCGCCCCCCTCCCAGTCTGCTGCCTCTCCCCAGACTCTGGAGGGCTCTGTGGCCACCCTACCCCCCGCCCCGACCCCCATCACCGTGGACTTCACCTCCAAGACCCCCCTTCCCCCCGTGGCCCTGCTCACGCAGCCGCACAGCACTCTGGGTACGGAACTCTGGGAGAACAAGGTGGCCGGATCCACCATTCTCCCAGACGTCAAGAAACGTGAGTCACACAACATCAGGACAGTCATATTTCACAACAAGAGATGACATTTCATTAGTTAAAACTTCTACATGAGCTAGTGTTGTTCATATGCTTGGTCTCATATCTGTTGTGTGTGTTTCAGTTGGACCTATCAGCCCTCCTCAGCCTCCTTCAGTCAGTGCCTGGAACAAACCTCTCACCTCCTTCACTGGGACTGTCACTCCTGAGGTACGGACCTCCCTCTCTCGCTGTCTCGCTCTCTCGCTGTCTGTATAGTAGCCATCTAGCACAGTGTTTCACAACCTGTATTGTACAACAGACTGACTAGCTATGGATCTGTTCTGTTTCATTGTGGCTCCAAATAAAGGGCTTGGTTGGTTAAAGTGCCTTTGTCTGTTGTAGGGAGTGAAGCCTGGCTCAGAAGGCAGTGTGGATCTAGGGATGGACAGTATCCAGTTTGGAGCCCCATCCTCAGCTGGCAGTACAGACAGCGATGGTGTACTAGCCATGCTTGAGCCTGGACCTGACAACAAACTACCTGCTCCTAAAGAACAGAGACAGAAACAGCCTCGTGTCGGGCCTATCAAAACACAGAAGGTAGGGTACTAAACACACACTGACTGACACAAATACTCAGAAAATCCATGGTGACTGATACGTTTCTGCAAATAATTACATTTACATGATTCTTCATAGTTTCTCAACTTTAAATGCATCTCTTGTCTCTCCTTCCATCTCCCTCCCCAGCTCCCTGACATGGAGCCAGTAGAGCCTAAGGAGTACAAGCCTGGCCCTATCGGTAAAGAACGCTCCCTGAGAAACCGCAAGGCTAAGGACGTCCGCGGGGGGGAGGGAGAGGGTCTGGATGGGGGGGTAGTACCAGGAGGAGGGACCAGCAGAGCAGTAGACTCCAGCCCCACCAACACAGACACCTCTGTTCCTGAGCTGGGGGGCGATATCGAGGGGATGATCACCATACCCTCGGCAGAGTATGCCTGCAGCTCCAAGGTGAGAGGGGATGGGTTGGTTGGTATGGTATACCCAATATTGCCACCAGTCTATCCACCACATTCATGAATGCTCCATTCATTCCAGTTCTATTGACTTAAACTTGTGTGTGTGTGTGTCCCCTGCAAGGAGTCAGTGACCGACTACACCACCCCCTCGTCCTCGCTGGCTGACAGTGTTCCTACTGGAGGGAGTAAGATGGAGGAGAGCCTGGTGGCCAATGTGGCCCTGCCCCACTCTCTGCCTCTCCCTCGTAGAGAGGCCTTACAGCAGACCTCCAGCCTCAGTACTGTCTCTCCTGCTTCTGTTGACCTCACACTGAAGGTACACACACACACACACACACACCACACACCCCAATGCATAGTGTGTCTATCGGCTTCTAATACGTGATCTGATTTCTCTGATCAGATGGAGTCAGCCCGTAAAGCGTGGGAGAACTCCCCGAGCCTGGTAGAGAAGAGTTCTCCTGTCAGCTCCTCTTCTCCTATCACCTCCTGCACCTCCTCTTCCTACTCCTCCTTCTCCTCTGCCTCCATGCCTCAGATACCAGTAGCCTCTGTCACACCAAGCACCTCTTTGACAGGTACAGTCTTTCTTTGTAAGTCAATAATACTTGTTATACAATGCTTTTACAGTAGTACACTAATGCTAAATGGATTGATGGTTGGGCAACGTCACCCACATAAACTGCAACAGCAACTGGGTGTAGTGACATCTCCCCCCTCTATGTCCTGTCACCATCCCCCCAGGTGCTGGGACATACACCACGTCCTCTCTGAGCACTAAGACCACCGCGGCCTCTGATCCCCCCAACATCTGCAAGGTGAAACCCCAGCAGCTGCAGGCTGGATCCATAGGCGGGACCAACTTCTCCCAGCTGGGCTGTGTGGCCCCCCTGCTTCCCCAGCAGCAACAAACTCCACAGGTCTACGTCTCCCAGTCTGCAGCAGGTGAGTCCTCCAACACATCTGACGCTTGTATGCACTTAGAGGTATGACTAGGGCCAGGAGTTTTTCCTTAACTACATGACCTCACCAGAAAATGACTTGGCCCTAGTTAGTTACTTAGACTTAGTCTAGCAGATACTACTAAACCTGAATGAACAGTTCTGTTGAATGGGTCTAGTGTTGTGCTCCTCTCTCGTCTCGTATCAGTGACTGCTGAGTGAGCCTCTCATTGGGGATGCTAGCTATAGAGCTTACTACAGTGCAGTAGGCCCCATAGGGAGGTCAGGTATTAGCCTCTCAGAGAGAGCTGAGCCCACAGGAACAGCCATCACGGCTCATAGAGGACATAATTACCTCACGTCTCCATAGAGGACACTCATTTAGAGAAAGGTCAATGCATTCACAATCCTTATGTGATCTGAGATGGAGACAGCTGTAATGTTACTGTGAAAGTGATGCTTGTGATTAAAATGTCCTCAGGACACACACAATAGTCTTGCATTTGTCAGGATTGTGGTGAGTTTGTGAATTGGAGTTTTGATCCCTTTTTCTTTCACTCGCTCTCTGTCTCTGTGTAGGCTCTGCAGCCCAGATTCCAGCGTTCTACATGGACACTAGTCACCTGTTCAGCAACACCCACCCCCGCCTGGCACCTCCCCCTCTGGCACAGCACCAGCAGCAGGGCTACCAGCCTAGACTCTCACAGGTACACACTACAAGGATCTCTTTAACTAGTCTTAAAGCTTAAACTGCCTTTAATGTAGCCTTATTCTCCCCATGTGTAGCCTTATTCTCCCCATGTGTAGCCTTATTCTCCCCATGTGTAGCCTTATTCTCCCCATGTGTAGCCTTATTCTCCCCATGTGTAGCCTTATTCTCCCCATGTGTAGCCTTATTCTCCCCATGTGTAGCCTTATTCTCCCCATGTGTAGCCTTATAAGGCCTTATTTTCTCCCCTCCAGCAGCAGGCGGCGGTGCAGCAGATTCCTATCCCAATCTATGCTCCCCTACAGGGGCAGCACCAACACACACACCAACACACACACTCTCACCAGGCCCAGCTAGGCCTCAGCACCGGACCTCCTGTCTCCCAGCCACAGGACCTCTTCAGCTCCTCACTGCAGCCTTACAGGTAACAAACACACACACACAATTATATGTATTTATCAAACAATGCTGTTTGGTCAAATGTATGTAGTGTCATTCTGACCGGTAAGAGGAGTGTGTGTGTGTGTGTGTTTGAACATACAATATTTCAACTCATCTCCCATCTCCCCTCCTCTGTCCTTCAGATCTCAGCAGGCCTTTATGCAGAGCAGCCTGTCCCAGCCCAGTCCCATGATGTTATCAGGGCCATCTCTCCACAGCTACCCCGGGGTTGGGGGACCTGACCTGGGCAAGCCCCAGTCCAGCCTCGCCTACCAGCAGCCCTCCAACACACACACACAGCACATCCCAATCCTGTTTGAACCACAGCTCAACCAGCCCTCTGGCATGGGAGGTTCCCAGCTGATAGACACACACCTACTGCAGGTATGGAAGGTACACACAACGTAGTTACAACCTTCTTATAATGTATTCACAACTGTTGAGAACTCATGTTATCTTTGTAAACGCTCAAGCAAGCTTCTATGTGGTCATACAAGAGCTTTGTAAGAAGTGGTTGGGAATATTATTGTCCTAACCACCCCCCTCTCGCTCTCTCTCTCTTGTTCTCTCTCCAGCGTCAGGGGATGAGTCCACATTCTAACCTGTACTCAGGACAGGTGCAACAACACGGACAGAGCAGTTACTATAGTAACACACAGTCTCCTAGCTCTGCCATGCAGCAGGTATACACATTATTTACACACTTTCAAACAGAGGCTAACTTCTGCAAAAGGAGGGGTGGGGGGGCAGCGCCAGGAGGATTGTCAAAACAGACAATCGTGACATTGGAACTAACTCACCCCTCCCACTCTACTCCTCTCGCTCTCCCTCCCTCTTTCTCTAGGTGCAAGTCCCAATGCCAGGCTCCCAGCTCGGTCTTCCTAACTATGGTTCCGGGGGCGGCCAGCCCCTCCTGGCGCTGCCCCCCACCCCTCCCCAGGCCCAGCCCCCCAACCTCAGCCGCCAGCCCCCGGTCTCCCAGCCCTACAGGGGACCCTTCGGACCCACTCACACACACAGCATGATGCAGCCCCCCTCCAGCAAGGTACACACCAGGGAATGATAAAAGGTTCAGCATGTGTGAGAGACACTTTTGTATGTCTCAAAGCCCTTTCATGGCCTAATGGTTTAATAGATGCCTGTATTATGTCTTCTGCACTGGTGTGTGTGTGTGAGCATTGTGTTGGTGAGATGCTAGCAGTATATGATGTAATGTGTCTCTGCTCTTGTGTGTTTCTATCCAGATGTGTGAGATGGACATGAAGCTGTTTGGCAGTGGGATGGACATGAAGCCTGGGACTCCTCCTCACAGCACTAGGAGCACCACCCCTACACCTAGTCCTTACAGGTAACACACATTCTCACACACACTACACCTAGTCCTTACAGGGAACACACACTACACCTAGTCCTTACAGGGAACACACACTACATCTAGTCCTTACAGGGAACACACACTACACCTAGTCCTTACAGGGAACTCTCTCACACACACTACCCCTACACCTAGTCCTTACAGGGAACTCTCTCACACAGACCCTGTCCCACCTTCTACCGGTTGTATGAGTGTACCAAGAGCTGATGTATTGTTGTCTGGTCAGGGCCAGCTCTACGTCTCCCAGCAGCCAGTCCAGTAAGATGAGCAGCATGCTGTACCAGAAACAGTTCCAGCCCAGCTCTGCTGCCATGAGGATCACACAGCACTTCCCTGTACAGTTCAACCCACAGGTAACACACGCACACACATACTGGGGCGCAACAGCGTCTCTACTTCCTAAGGCGGCTGAAGAAACTCTGCATGCCGCCCCGGGTCCTCTCCAAATACTACTGCTGCACCATCGAGAGCGTCCTGACCGGTTGCATCACAGCCTGGTACAGGAATTGTTCCGTCCACACCACAAGGCTCTCCAGCAGGTGGTGAAGACCAGTACATCACTGGGACCGTGCTCCCACCCATCCAGGACATCTACTCCAAACGGTGCCTGAGGAAGGCCCACAACATCAAGGACCCCACACACACCCCAGCCACGAGCTGTTCTCTCCCTTACCGTCGGGCAGACGGTATCGGAGCATGAGGTCTGATACCAACCGGCTCAGAGACAGTTTCTATCTACAATCCATCAGACTGCTGAACACTTGAACTGGACTGACCACCTGCTCTGATTCTCCACACCTTACCACACTCACTCATGCGCACACACACACCCACACAGAAATGCGCACACACACACACATCACAACTGCTGCCACCAGACTCTTATGATACTGCTCAATTTATACACATCCCCCACTTCCTCAATACACATGTAAATATTGAACTATAAATTGTACCTGCCTGTATTATACTTATGCTAAATTCTATTCTACTGCCATTTACTTTATGTTCATATTTTTATATTTTATTATCTATTGTTGTATTGTCGAAGGAACCTGCAAGTAAGCATTTCGTGGGACAATGTATACCATGTGTATCCTGTACATACGACTAATAACATTTGAAACTTGTGATAGAGGTCAGCTTAACACTAACCCTTTTTATTAGAAAGAAATCCAAGGAAAAAGTGTTGATGACATTAACACTCTCCTTCTCTCCCTCCTTTTCAGATGATGTCCCAGCCCAACCTGGTCTCTCCTCTGGTACGCCCTCCCCCCCACACCCAACATGCTAACTCATTTGGTGGAGGGATGCAGCGTTCACCTATGGGCCCGCCCCCCATGTCTCCCTCTCTGGGAGGGGGTTTGATTCCTCACCCCCGGCCGCCACCGCAGCAGTTCCCCCAGATGCACCCCTCCCACCCCCCCAGAGGGCCTCTTCCCCCCCTTGCACCCAGAGGCCCACCGGGTCCCCGAGGCAACCAGGCAGAGCAGGACCTCAAGGTATAGTACTGCTTGCTGATTAGTTGACTGGTTGAACTAGAATGTGCCTGGTGTTGAAATCCTGATGTCTCCTAAATGAACCCAGCAGTAGTGATGTGGTCGATTGTGTGACTCATTTGATTGCTGTATTCACTGATTGCTGTCCCCAGGCGAAGCAGCGAGCGGAGGTGCTCCAGTCGACTCATAAGTTCTTCTCAGAGCAGCAGCAGCTCAAGGCTCCGTCAGTCTCCAAACCCTCTCGTCTCGACCAGGGGGGCGGCAAACCCCCCCTCGACATCCTGCCCCCCAACCACCAGACGGTGGGAGTCGTTGAGCGCCCTGAGCCCGACAAACCCTCCCTGTCAGCGGGCAAGCCCATCCGCACCGGCCCCATCAAGCCCCAGGCCATCAAACCAGAGGAGGGGAAGTAGAGCCTCACATCTCCACAGATGGAGGGATGGAGGAGATGATCCAGCTGCTCCACTTATTCATGTAATCACTCGCTCTCACACATCACCCTCGCTGGTGTTAGAGAGGCAGAGAAAGAGAGGACAGGTGGGGGTGTATAAGTCAATGGTTACTGAGAGGGCTACTGTGTGTGTTCCACCCTCCTCCCATCTCTCTCTCACCTTCTCCTCCTCTCCTGTCCTCCACTATTGGGGGGGTCTGTGTGTGATTTGAGCCCCGCATCTTGTAATTTGGGCGGGGCGGAAGACGGCAAGCTGTACTTCAGATGTCTACCAAGATGGTAGAAAAAGATCCAAGGGAGAGAAGAAAAGAAAAGATGAGATTCTCTGCCGAGTTTGCCATTTCTATAGCTCTATGATTTCTGTTCCTTTCTTTTTTACAATAGAATCACGTTAATACGAGGACAGGGCTGTTATTTTTGTTAACAGAAGAATGAATCAATCTTTTGTTTTTGTAGTTGGAACAAACAATCTTATTTAAAGATGTATTTTAGTGAAGCACAGACCCGTTCTATTCCTCTGCCGGTCTTCCACACATCATTGCTAACTAACACGGCTGTGTGAGTGTATACAAGCTTGTGCGATCACCACACACACTCCCCCTAGCGCTCAACGGTTTCACCAATATTCACTAAAGAGAGAAACAATGAAATCAGGGTTTTTCTTGAAAGGAATTGTAAGATGCAGCAGTTGATTTATTGATTCATTGATTAGTCTGCCTTTCCTCCTGCTCTCATCTCTTCGCCTGAGCGGAATGATAAGGTGTGTGTGTGTGTTTGCGTGGTGCACACGGGAGGCCATTGCCTGGTTCTCCTGTATCTTTAGCCAAAGGTTGAGCGTGCAAGGATGATTTCACAGAGCCTTGAGAATCCCTGTTGCATGGCAGCATGGTGGAAGGGGAGTTATTATTATGGGCTGTCTGTAAACGGTTAATACAGACAGACAGACCCTGAATCCAGTCTGGGAGCTCTCTCCCACATCCCTTCCTCCCTCAAGAGAAAGGAGGGTAGAATACACCTCTCCACCACCGCGCACACACCCATCCTCACGGTGTCTCCCACACTCACTCACTTCCCTGTAGGGCACCCAACCCTGCTGCTACTAACAGAAAGGGAGAGTGAGTACAGTTCAGTGTGGCTTTCTGTTAACCCTCACCAAGAGGGAACGAGACAGAAGGGGGAGAAATAAAACAAAATTAGAAAAAGCCTTGAGTTGAACTGTAGACTGTAGTTCTGCTGCATTTCGGGGCAGAATGACAGGTTTTATAGTGTTGAGAGGAGAGATCGGTTCCGTCTCCTGTCTCATCTCACTTCCACTCACTCAAGCCTACACCACTCATCGCTGGTTTACCATGGTGACAAGGGTCCTTCAGAAATGTACAGTAGTATGCTCCCCTAGTGGGGAGGGGGCTAACCCCCTCTAACCAGAACATGGGATGAGGAACCTTGTGTAGGAGGACGGGGGGTGATGATGGGTTTTGTTTTTTCTTTTACTTGTACAGGGGGTACCTCGCTGTATTAAAATATGTACGGTCTTACATTCTTGGTTTTAGTTAAGAAACTAATAAAATAATATGCTGTTTAAAAAGTGACCCTGTGATGGGGTAGTTTATTCAATCTGTTTTAACTCATGATTCTGTCCAAAGAACCAACATGTAGTTACAGATGGCACCACTAGATGTCAGTATCTAGATGGGAATTTCAAGACTAATACCGTAGGAGGGAAAAACGCAACATTTACATAAGATCACTGTCTACTACTTCATCCTCGTTCTCAGGCGCATGCAGGGTGGAAATAACACTGCTCACACACTTTGCACACACGTCCAGTTAGGTTGGAAACCCAGAGGCCAGGATTTATTAGGAATGTGGAAGATCTCCAACTGTTTTGACCATTCAGTCCTACTACAGCCTCATGCTTAAGTGATTCTCTAACAGTATGAACCTTGGACCCACATCATTCAGGTGTCCCCAGTATTTATGAAACCATAAAAAAAGTGGGCTTTTATTCTTCACAACCTCTTTGAAGCTGTCAACTGAAACCAATTTGGAAATATGGAGTCAGTGACAGGCAAGAAGCTCTGGAGTTCATGTCATGATTTGTGGACAGATTCTGTTGTGAGGAAGTTGGGGTTACACAAAGGGCTTTGTAGTGTACTACATGGGGAATAGGTCATTTGAGAAAGAGCCATTGTAAGAGTCAGATGTAGGTTGAGGTGAAGTGAGGTATGTTTGGAAGCCAACCTCAGAGAGCGGGGGAAGTATTTAGGAGGCTAGGACAGACTCCCCTCTATGCCACATCAAACTATCTCTGCCCCCTGGTGGGTTAACGATGGAGAGAACTCATAAAGGCAGGGGTGGGGTTGCTCTCTCTTCCTCTACCTCCCTCCCTACAATTAAACACAACATTCCTCTTTTCCTAATCCAGTGGAAATACCTCTGTCTTGTCTCCCGTCCACCCACATCACGTGTATGTGTGGAGAAAGGTACCGGTAAACATGTTATTGATGTGTTGTGTGCTTCTGAAGACTGAGGTATGAGAACATCCTGCTGAGGAACCAGCCATCAGACACACCAGTCTGGGAACTTACACATACCAGGAATGACTGACAAAGGGACTTTCACATTACATCCTATTCCCTGCTGTTTAAACATCTATTACAAAGCTGACAGAACAGTGATGATAATATCATAAAATGTATTACACTATAACTATGAACATTACAAGCCTCGTTTAGTTATGTGTGGGTTTTGGCATAGCATCTCTATAGAGTGGAATATATGACTACTTCTCCCATCGGGGGGACAATCTGTTTACAGCCATGTTGTGACTGCAAAAACACAGCGCTGGATAAATAAATGACCACTATGTTAAACGGCTGTTCACTAGAAGACACAGACCCAGACCTGTGATGAAAACAGTCAAATGGAAAGTGTTGTTTCCCTCAACACCTTCCGTTTACAGTTAGTGATTATAATTAACATACTTTTTTTCAGATTTAGAATCTGGCATGTGTTTTGGTACATAGCAGTGTTAAGTGAGGACATAATTTCCCCTTGGCTACCCGTATCCTACTCGGAGCAGCTAGGATGCGAGTGAGTCCCTCTGTGTGCTCTAGCATCGGTCATAACCTCACACACTGGGGCTACAACACAGCTGGTGGGAGATAGGGGGAATAGGGAAATAACACCATTGGGCTAGGGAAAGGGGGCTAGGAATTCTTGAGGTTTTGCTCACCTGAGTTAGAGTACCTCATGATAAGCTGTAGACCACAATATTTACCAAGAGGGTTTTCATCTATATTCTTAGCTGTCTATTTATCATCACAAACCGATGCTGGCACTAAGACCGCACTCAACAAGCTGTTTAAGGCCAGCATGGCACATGTGCAACTAGAGAGAAAAAAACTCTAGATAACCTTTACACCACACACAGAGACACATACAAAGCTCTTCTTCGCCCTCCATTTGGCAAATCTGACCATAACTCTATCCTCCTGATTCCTGCTTACAAGCAAAAACTCAAACAGGAAGTACCAATATGGAAGTGTTCCGATGAAGCAGATGCTAAGCTACAGGACTGTTTCGCCAGCACAGACTGGAAAATGTTCCGGGATTCATCCGATGGCATTGAGGAGTATACCACATCAGTCACCGGCTTCATTAATAAGTGCACTGACGACAATGTCCCCACAGTGACCGTACGTACATATTCCAACCAGAAGCAATGGATTACAGGCAATATCCACACTGAGCTAAAGGCTAGAGCTGCCGCTTTCAAGGCGCGGGACACTAATCCGGACGTTTAAAAGAAATCCCGCTACGCCCTCCGACGGACCATCAAACAGGCAAAGCGTCAATCCAGGACTAAGATCAAATCCTACTACACCAGCACTGACCCTCGTCGTATGTGGCAGGGCTTGCAAACTATCACGGATTACAAAGGGAAACCTAGCCGTGAGTTGCCCAGTGATGCAAGCCTACCAGACAAGCTAAATGCCTTCTATGCTCGCTTCGAGGCAAGCAACACTGAACCATGCATGAGAGCACAAGCTGTTCCGGACGACTGTGTGATCACGCTCTCTGTAGCCGATGTGAGTAAGACCTTTAAACAGGTTAACATTCACAAGGCAGCAGGGCCAGACGGATTACCAGGACGTGTACTCAGAGCATTCACTGACCAGCTGGCAAGTGTCTTCACTGACATTTTCAACCTCCCCCTGACCCAGTCTGTAATACCTACATGTTTCAAGCAGACCACCATAGTCCCTGTGCCCAAGAACGCCAAGGTAACCTGCCTAAATGACTACCGCCCCCGTAGCACTCACATCTGTAGCCATGAAGTGCTTTGAAAGGCTGGTCATGGCTCACATCAACACCATCTTCCCAGAAACCCTGGACCCACTCCAATTCGCGTACCGCCCCAACAGATCCACAGATGACGCAATGTCTATTACACTCCACACTGCCCTTTCCCACCTGGACAAAAGGAACACCTACGTGAGAATGCTGTTCATTGACTATAGCTCAGCGTTCAACACCATAGTGCCCGCCAAGCTCATAACTAAGCTAAGGACCCTGGGACTAAACACCTCCCTCTGCAAATGGATCCTGGACATCCGGACGGACCGCCCCCAGGTGATGAGGGTAGGCAACAACACACCCGCCACGCTGAACCTCAACACGGGGGCATGCTTAGTCCCCTCCTGAACTCCCTGTTCACCCATGACTGTGTAGCAATGCATGACAACACCATCATTAAGTTTGCCGACGACACGACGGGGTGAGGGGGGGGCCTTCAGACAGTAATGGCTTTGACCTCTGTTGACCTCCAGGTCAGGAGGAAGGATCTCTTTCTATTCTGTCTCTCTCCATTTCTTTCTATATAAATATAATAATATAATATGCCATTTAGCAGACGCTTTTATCCAAAGCGACTTACAGTCATCTGTCTCTGTC